CACTCATGAGCCACACATTGGCTTAATCATACCAGACGCTTTCTTCTATTTTGAAAGACACAGGAGAAAAAAATAGAAGACTGCCCCAAAAGTCACTTCATGTTACAAGTTAATTCCAAAGCATTTTAAACAGTACAGTTATTGCACACTAAAAAGAAAACTTTAAAACAGGCCTCCTCCCATTCTCGGAACACATCAACTATTAGTGTTGTCAGTCATCTGTTACAATCAACTTAGAGACCTGCCCAGAATTTTTTATAATTAATAGAAAAACAATTCATCAAAGTAATGCAGATCTAAACTAAATCCTAAATAGTGAAACTTAAATGAGTACGGTTTTTCGTTGGTGGGAGTTTTGTCGTCGTCCTCGTTTTGGTTAAATTACTGAAACTATAGACCTTGAAGGTTAAAATTATTGAGCATGTTTACAGGGTTAGGGTGTAATCTTTTATTTAAAAAGTGATAATTAAGTATATAAAAACCATGAAAAGAGAACATTTCTGTAAAAAAAATTGATTAACTGTGCTCAGTGATAAGCCACTTAAACATAAAATAAAAACGTGACTGTAATTAACTCCTATTTTCCAACCTGGGACTCCGAGCTTACCAGTCGGCTGAATCAGTGATTGCAGCCTTGGCCCATGTGCCAGCGTCTGTTGTCACAAATCCCACGTCGTCGTGGGAGCTGGAAGAAGACTGGTCAGAGAGGTGTGGAGGAAGCACCGGCAACCTGTCATCTTCTATGATGACAGTATCGTCCTGGGGCATGTTCACTGTGGGGGACAGCTGGTATTGACCTGCCCGGTGGAAAAAGAGAGAAATGCTAGACGTCGATCTAAGTGTTATGTCTCTTAATTTTAACACTTCGCCGTATTAGAAAAAGTCTAAACTTCCACACATCTGCTCAACCTGGTAGAACGAAAGAGAATTTAGTGCATTTATTTTTCATAAATGGTTGTCACACAGAGACCTCGAGTCTATGCCCACCTCTGACGCTACAGCTATGTGGCTCAGGACACAATATGCAACTGTCCTGGTTTTAAGCGTCTAAAGCCAAAGATGATCTCTAAAATGTCTTCTAAGGTGAAAATGCTACACACGACCCAAGCTGTGAACATCCTTCGAAATATTTTACTAGGAAATTTAGAAGGAAGCCCTATTAAATTCCATCATTCATCCATTCATTCATTCCAATCATCAGGCAACTACCACATACCAGGTACTGTAAGACATAACCCCTGTCCTTAAAGAGCTCACACCCTAGTGAAAGATACATAAACGTATCAGGTAAGCAGTGATAACTGTACAGTGGTGCATGTGACGTTCCAAAAGCCATTTACTTGTGTTGTAATTTCCTGGGTCACTGCGGGTGCTGGTAAATCTTAACAAAGGTTAATGTCAGAGTTGGGTTTTACATGAGGAGTATGATCTTTTCTGCTGGAATAAATGATGACATTTATTTTAACATCAGCTACATCATCATTAAATGCATGATGGAGAAAAGCCCACGGTGCATTCAGGTGACACTTCAAAGATGAGTATACCCAGAACCAAAGCCCTGGGAACCAGGAGATGCAGAAGTGATCTTGAATCAAAAAAAATTGCCCAGAGGTTTCCTGGCCACGACCGAGGAACCTGCAGATTTTGATTTATTCAATTAGGATCGAGTCTTCTTCGGAAGACCCAAAACTGTCTATACGGATCAGTTTCTTGCAGGAAAATGTGCTCAGGTTCTGGGATCAGCATGACAGGCGTTTACATTTCACAATCTTTCTTGCAACAAAATAATGTTTTTCAAGGTCCTCAGTCCTTAAAGATAAAGCTGGGGTCCAAATGATGACATCTTTTTCCCCCAAATCACGTACAGCTCTTCTAGCTTCCTCCCCAAATCTTGTACCATGCATCCTCTGAGCAAAAACGTGTCGACAAGACTTTGGTCCACGTGGATGTCTTCTGAGAGCCCAGACTCAGAGAAATGTGCCATGGTATGATGTGGGCCACGGGCCTGGGTTCCCAAAAAAGCAAGGAGAC